TATTTATAACTGCCAAAACTTGGAAGCAATCAAGAAGTGCTTTAGCAAGGTGACTGAGAAAGATGGGCAGCCAGACAACAGAGCACCATTTAGTACTAAGAAATGCGCTCTGAGCCACAATGAGGCATGAATGAAGAAGGGCTGAGAGATGGCTGAGTGGTTGAGAGCACTACCTGCTCTTTCAGAGGAGCCGAATTTGATTTCCAACACCCACACGAGAGCTCACAACTGTCTGTAACTCCAGTTCCAGGCAAGCCGATGCTCTTTTCTGACATCTGAGGGCACCAGGCATGCATATGGAACTCAGACATATATGCAGGGAAAATATTCATACACAAAATTTTAAAAAAATATGAAAAAGAAATGACATGAAGGAAGCACATGAAAGCACCTTGCTGTGCGAAGCAAGCTAATCTGGGAAGGCTGTGATTTCTACTGCAGGATCGTCTGGAGACAGTCGGGGGGCTGGGGGGCCGAGGGATAAAAAGGAAGGACAGTGCCAGTGAAGCCTCTTTCCTGGGAATACTAAAAACTAAATTATGTCTGTCCCCTCAAGACACACTAACCAAAGAGCCAGCCAGGGAGTGTGGCATGGTGACATGTTCTACTTCCCGACTTGGCCAGTAGCTATACTGTTTCTATGATTCTGTCAAATAGCACATATATACTTTGCCCTTGTACATTTTCAGGAAAAAAAAATTAGAACAAACTGTCTTTATGAAAAGCTCTCTAGGTAAAGCTGACTGACTACCTCACTGAAACACTCAGTCTGCAGTCTGCACACACGGTGAGCAGTCAGTCTGTGCCCTGTCAGTCCCTGAGCGGAGGGCCTTACAGACTGATTCCACTGCGCCAGGATCCGTCCCAAGTCCCTCAAGCACAAGGCCATTTGCCTCACTGTCGGGGGCTGGCCGCTGATGACCAATCACTTCCCTTAGCGCCTGCTACATCTTCAGACTGGCCATGTTTCTCCGGCTACACAGCACTCACAGCCAATGGCTACATGAACGGCATCTTTCCTGCTACCTCTTAGAAGTGGAAACTCTCAGGGAACATCAGTCTACTAATTTGGCCTGGGCCATTTTCACTAATGCATCTCCTTTTGGAGCTGTCAGACTGCCATAAAAACACCATAATTGACTGTGTTTGCTCCTTTTCTGCTTTGAATAACACAGCAGAACAATCCTTTGTCAATCCCTCCTTCAAATTCTTTCTTAGGGAAATCTTATTTTAACCATGAAAAACCAGACACTAGTCTATTACAGCTGCTCCAACTCTTACAAGAGCTGTACAAAAGAAAAAAGTGCCTTCTACCTCCAAAAGCCATTAGCGACTTTCTTCTTACTAATAAGGCACCCAGAACACATCCTATTCCACAGAACCAAAAGGACCAATTTCCTCCTGGAGCGGAGCAGTAATCGTCCGGCACTCATTAAATTACAGCAATGAGAGATGGCTTTTTCCTGATACGTTTCCTGATGAATAGCTGAGAAGCTTGGCTTTTCCCAAGGCTGCCTCCCACAGACACTCCGGATCCTGTCTGCACAGGTAAGCCTGGGCTCCTCAGTATCCAACACGGCAAACCTTTCTGTTTACTCCAGTCAGTGCCTCTTTAACTTTGGAGCCTGTCCTGGAACGAGCTCTTGTAGACCAGGCTAGCCTCAAACTCACAGAGATCCACCTGCCTCTGCCTCCCGAGTGCAGAGATTAAAGGCATTTTTTAAAAAAAATATTAATCTTGAAATTCATGAGATAGCTCATTCCACAAAAGCACCTGCCACCAAGTCTGACTACCCGAGTCTGATCCCTGGGACCTACACAGTAGAAAGAAGGAATCAACTCACAGAAGACATCCTCTGGTCTCCACATGCTTGTGTGCATGTAATATAAAATCCAAAATAAGCCCATGCCTTTAATGCAGTACTTGGGAGGCAGAAGCAGGCTAATTTCCATTAGTTCAAGGCCAGCCTGGACTACACATTGAGTTCCAAGCGAGTCAAGTCTACATAATGAGACCCCCATCTCAAAAAATAAAATTAAAAGAATAATTTCATCATTACAATATAAAAACAATCAACTGATTTTCTAAATATTTTCTTTCATTTCAAGGGCTTCAGAGAACATGGGTTCTCATATTCGAGTTGGCACAGCAATTCCAAAAGGTAGCCTACCACAGTTACATAGGGTGTATTTATGCTGAGATTGTGACAATTACACCCACAGTTGCCTTGGTTTTAAAAGAGATTTAATTCCTTTGGTTGACCCACAGATCAAAGATTCTATTTTCTGGAACTAATGATTAAGGAGTAAAATAAGAGAAATTACAGATATTAGCAGATACTCTGCCCCCTGTTCAAAGGTACTTACTTTTCTTCAGCACATCAGCCTACGATGTCATGTTGGAACTGTCCACTAACCTCTGGCCCCTCAGAGGCAGGAGCTCCCGAGGGCAGGGACTGAATGCTACCTGCTGTCTCACCTTCATAGTCAAGAAGTGTTTCTCTTAATGCTGGTATACTCAACACGGAAGTCTGATTGTTATTCTTATTCTGGTGCTGGCGCTTGAACACATACAGCATCAGGCTTACACTAAGCATGCATTCTACCACTTGAACTACACACCCCGAGCCCCAAAAATCTGGCTCTTAGTTAGTTACAGTTTTAGATCAGCTGGTGAACCTGCTGCCCTGCCATCTGTGAGTTTTCAGGCATTACTCTGATTCTGAGCAGATATAACCTCAAATATCTCATGAAGTCCACCTAAATACAGATTTCCCTTGCACAAAACTGCAGAAAAATGATAAGCCTGAGAGTTCTGAGTGTTTCTGTGGATTCTAGTCTATACCACAAACCAAAATTCCTTTTGGCAAGTCTAACCACAGTGGGTCCTGTGTTAGAGATTCAAATGAGGAATGAACTAAACGGCCTCCAATCACTCACTCACTGGCCCCCTCTCTAAAACTGATGAGGCATGAATAAGGGTACTGTGGCGGAGTGGCACAAGTTAACGCTAGAGGGCGCTACACTCGTATTAGTACAGGGGGTTCAGGTCAGGAAATCTCAAGAAAAACATCTCTCTCTTCCCAGGTTTACGGTACTGGAGAGAGAACCTGGGGCCGTGAGTGTGCTAGAAAGCATTCTACCACAGGAATGCACCACCCCCCCTCACTAGAAGCTTCTCATTCATGATGCAGGCGAGTGACAGGTTGATGAATTCAGCTATGATTAGCATTACCATTCTTCTACAGGACTCAAATGTTTCTCTTCCTCCATTTCTTTGGTTTGGGAATTTTCCATTCATTGCTCTTATTTGCTTCTTTGTTTTTTCGAGACAGGGTCTATGTAGCCCAGGCAGACCTCAGACTCACTATATGGGAATGGGCATTCTGAGGCCCTGAGGTTTCTCCCTTCATCTCACAAACGGGGAAATTAGAGGCTTAACCCACTTTGTGGGACTTACTTTGCTTTTTGTTGTTGTTAGCTTGATTTTTTTTTTATTGTCATTGCCTTTTGAGACAGTTAGCCTTGGCTGTCCTGGAGCTAGCTCTGTAGACCAGGCTGGCCTTGAACTCATAGAGAACCTCCTACTTCTGCCTCCTGAGTACCAGGATTAAAGGCATGGACCACCACTTCCCACTGATTTTTTTCTTTTAAAAGAAGAATGGAGAGAGCAATCTTTAGGAAAGGCTTAATGCCAACTTGGTATTCACGGAATTAAAAGGAAACCCAAACAGCCTATGATATAAGCCAATGAGAGGAGCTTTTGGGGAAGAACCCTTGGGCTGCTCAGTCTGTCCAGGAGTGAGGTAAAGATAACAGGGAAAGAGGGGAAGAAGGAGCACACTGAAGATGAAGCGGCTCTGACCACTGTTACACGCTATGGTGGCTAATCTCGACTACATCTACAATCAACTAAAACCAAAGCAACTGGGGCACCGGTGAGGGGTTCTTCTTGACTGGCTCATCTGAGATGGGAATACCCACTGTAAATCCAGACCATTTAAAGTGATAAAACACACCCTAAATCCAGGCCATAGCTTCCTGAGTCAGGCTATATAAAGAAATGGAGAAGGAAGTGCAGCTTTTTGCCTGCTTGCCCCTCACTCTTGATGGCAAGTTCATCCCTTCTCTACTGTCAGAGCCTACCTCTCTGAGGTTCCAGTGTATACTGAAGACCAGCTGAGACGTCTGAGATTTATAGACTTTCCATCAAGAGACAGCAAGCTGAACTAGCTGGACCACAGCCTGTAAGCAATTCTAATAAATGCCCCTTTTAATAAACACATTCATTTTATCAATTCTGTTCCTCTAGAGAACCCTGACTAATACTCTAACTCTGGAAAACATTCTTGGCCATGAAATTGTATGAACTAAACCATCCATAACAAAGGAATCATCGAAAGCTGTTTCTCTTTGCCCAGAGGAACAATGGCATGCTAACCTAACAGAGCGACTATACAGATAGCGTGCAGGAGACAGAAAGCTGCGGGACAGAACTCCTTGCATTTCTATTTCCTGGGTTAATGTGATTCAGAACAGCAGGGCTTAGCAGTTGGACACTGACTCTCTACTTTTAGGACACAGACGCCTCCTGAGTAAAAATAGACAGACAGTAACCTTGGAGAGCAACTTTGTGAGTGAAGAGAAAAATTGTACTAGATCAAAACAAATTTTTTCACGTTAAAAAAAATGCAAACTCAAACCTCTAGAGAATAAAGTAAAACTCACTAGCTTCAAATCCAGTATCAAAGTAGCTGGGAAATATTACTTTCTTAAATCATGAATTTCAAGTACTCTAGAGGCACCAAGAGGAAGCGTGGATGGATGGATGGATGGATGGATGGATGGATGGATGGATGATGTATCTCTCTCTCTCTGACATTAAAACATTTAGTTATCCTTTCAGGAAAAGTAGGAAAGGTGTTAAAAGGTGCATCTTGCTTCCTCCCTCACTCAGGTGTGCACCAGAAGACTTCCATGGCACTCTGCGCCATACTGACCTTTAAAATGTTTCGGCCATCAAATGATTCTCTTTCCTTGAAGATGTATTTGCCATCTGGTGTGTAGAGATTGTATCTGCCTTCAGCTGTAAATAATCCAAAGACAATGTGAGAGGAACATGAGAAGTGTGTTTGTGCCCACCCCCTTGAGTATCCAGAGGCCACAGGCCGACTAGGAAGCTTCCACCTCCTGCTAGACGGCAGCACGAGGTGGGAGGAAAAGCAGCTAACAGTCAAGAAATGAGGCTTCCCGGGCTGCAGACACCAACTCCTTGCCTGTATTTTCATTCATTCGGCATTCTCCAAGCCCTACCTGTATGCACTGGGCAACTAACGAGCTCTTCCTGAATCTCAGTTCTCCACCAATAAAGTCAGAGCTTGAGATGAAGTCATGCCAGACTTCTACAACTCCAAAATAAATGTCATGTGATTTTAATTATGTTAAAACACACAAAAGTTCGCATATAAACTATTCAAAATTGAAGGTGTCCAGGATTTGGGTATACTTAAGGACTATCTCCAAATGGGGTACCATTAAAGATATCCTTACATTCTACAGGGGAAGGCAGCAAGCCCATGACCTTGGCCTAAACAAAACTGTGCTCTAGCTGACTAAGTTAATTTAGGCTGCATATCCCAAAAGATGTCCTTAAAGGACAGCCAGAAGACTACCAAAGGAACAGAGACAGAAAAGAAAAAGTAACATATCTTTTCACATCCTTTTCAAGTAAAAAATTCAATACAGAGAAGAGCACAGGGAAGAGAAAATTCAAAGGACCCTCAAGAATTATTTAACTTTCATATGCTTTCTGGCTGACAACTCGCTCCTGCCTTCTCACAGACCTTTACAAGCATTTGGATTTCTACTGTCCAGTGTGCTCTCTCGTTATCCAGGTCTGCAGAGTCCCAGGTCAGAACTGAAGGACTCATCCAGAGTTCTAATAACTCCATGAATATAACAACTTTTAACTATGTGTGTGAGAACTCCAGACCTAGCTGGAATGAGAAGTGTTCTAAACAAGACTACAGCCTCAGGCCAACTCCACAGCTTAAAAAGCAAGTTCTGAAAGCCAGACTTGGTGGCGTACACCTAGAAAGACAACCCCTGGGATGTGGAAGCAGGAGATGGAAGAGTTTAAGACCACCCCCTCAGGACAGCAAGTTCAAGGCCAGCCTGGACCTGTGATCCTATCTCAAAAATACAATCAAAGTAAACACAAACAGCCTCCCTGCTAAGAAAAAAGAACACAAGCAGTTTGGAAAGAAATAAATCATGCCGGGCAGTGGTGGTGCATGCCTTTAATCCCAGCACTTGGGAGGCAGAGGCAGGCGGATCTCTGTGAGTTCGAAGCCAGCCTGGTCTACAAGAGCTAGTTCCAGGGAAACCCTGTCTTGAAAAAAAAAAAAAAAAAGAAAGGAAGGAAGGAAGGAAGGAAGGAAGGAAGGAAGGAAGGAATCATTACTAAAAACAAAACAAAAATCTAACTATTAAAAAGTAGAAGTTGTGGGTAGGGAAACAGCTCAGTCAGTAAAGTGCTTGCCTTGCACCTGAGCTCAATCCCCAGCACCCATGGAAAAAAACCGGCATAGTGGCACACTTACAACCTTAGCCAGAAGGAGGCAGAGACAGGAGGACCTCGAGCTCACTGGACAGCCAGACCACCTTACTTAGTGAATTTCAGGCACATGAGAGACCCTGTCTCAAGAAATAAGGTGAATGGTGCCGAGAGGCTGAGATTCTCCATTGTTTAAGTTAAATTTTCCTGGGCATCTGAAAGCCTTCTTGGGGAGACATGCTAAGGACGCAGGACCTCATGCATACTAGGCACTGCACCCCAACCCTCATGACATATTTATGTTTGCAAAATCTGACAAGCCAATGTGAGACAGAACTGTGTGCCATGCTAAGTATGCCCCTGCCACGTCCACTGGGCTCATCAGAGCAAAAAGGCGGAGAGATTCAGAACGGTGGCTCATTTAAAGCTCTAGCTAATCTCAGGGACTTACCACTGGGGTCTTTCCTGAGGAGAGTGTTCATGACCGTGGCGTGTAGTTTCACACTGGTCCAATCCTTCACGATCAGTCCCAGTGCTTGGAAGCGCTCCAGCATGCGATCAACTAGTTCCTGTAACCTGGAGAGGTCGAGACACCGAAATCTTAGTAAACTCAATCCAGCCACCAACTGAACACATATGCAGCTTGTCTGTTTGTGAGTCAGGTCTCACAGTGTAGCCCTGGCTAGCCTAGAACTCACTATGTGGACCAGACTGGCCTCAGACTCAAGAGGTCAGTCTGCCTTTGCTGGGGTTTAAATATGTGACCACCACACCTGGCCGGATCATGAGTGTGAGGCAAACGTGAGACACACTCGAGTTCCAAGGCAGCCCAGGGGAACGGCATATGGAGGAAAAGCGATTATCTCTACAATGCAATACGGTTTTACGGTGATCGACTCTGCATGGAAACAGATTTCAGCATGTTCTTGAAGGATTAATAAAGATTCACAGACAAAACCAGGAAAAGAAGGGTACTCCAAGCAAAGAAAATGCAGAACATGCGAGATGTGGGGTCACAGCAGACGGCAGCCTGCTGGTTACTGAACACACCTGGGACAGAGTAAGGAGGGCTGGCTATGAAGCAGTAAGGTCAGACCACAGAGAGTCAAACTTTTAACAGGGAATGCTATGACCCGATTCCATTTCTGACCCCTGACTCTGGCAAGGAGAAAGTGTTTCCAAAGTGAAGATTAGAAGGAAAAAGGGCAGTGGTACAGGACAGACTAGGTGGCTTCTTCCCTGGAGAAAGACTAACAGACAATGCCTTGGCCATCACACTGAGCATTCTGTATCTACTAAGCTACTTCATCCTCAGTACACATCATTACCCTAATTTACCAATGAAGGAGCTAAGCGAAAGGAAGTTATGGGACCTGGGCAAGTTATGCAGCTACTGAGTGTCAGATCCAAACTTTGTCGCTCTCACTATTGCTCAGGGGTAGAGTGGTGTGCTCAGTGTGCTATGCCCAAGACTGAATTCCAGAGCTCACACAGTTTTCTATTAATTTAAATGTCTTTCCTTTTCTTATCTTTGTGTGTGTGTGAGAGAGAGAGACAGAGACAGAGAGACAGACAGACAGACACACACAGAGCCTGAGTAAACAAGCACATATCCTCGTCTTTGTAATAGTCATCCTCCTGCTACCTTCCCTTACCTCTCTCCCCCAATCCATTTTAACTAATAAAAATTTTAAAATGAGTTTTCAAAAATCAGAGCAAGTCAGTCTGCCTTCAGAGACCACTCTCTTCAGGACCCCACTATGAATGAGGAAATGACGAGGCCCACACTCTGGAGACAACAAGCAGGAACTCTGAAGAGCTCAATGAGAAAGCGGTGCCCATTTTGACACACATGACAGAGGCAAGGAGAGAAGGAAAGTGAAGATGGCCCCCCAGACCTGGAGATGGTGGCCAGGCAGGTCACTAAGCCAACAGGCAGCTATGAAGAATCCTTTGCTCACTATCGTCAGGGGATAGAGCTGGTGCTGTGCCACTTAAATTGTGTGGCATGAGATATCAGGTGAAAGGCAGTTCAGGCATGTATGTCCAAGAAGAGACAGAAATACAAGTCTGAAGTTCAACCTAGGAATGTTGGGCCAGAAATGGAGACAAATGCACTTGGAAGATAAAGGCAGGGGTCAAGATCCTTCTGAGCTACACACAGCGCTACTAGCCAGTATAGAGCTAGACACTAGCCAGCCTGGGCAACACAGACCCTAAAAGAGTCGTGAAAGCACAGAACAGGTGCGGCATGGAAGGAGGATTAAGAGCATGCCAAGAGAAAGCTATGGACAGCCTTCTGGGACATTTACCTATGGAAATGGCAGAGAAGGAACTGGAAGACAGCCGGTAAGCATGAGAAAACAGGAAGAGGACCTCAGAGAGGCTGGAAGGAATGCCCACGCGCACAATTAGCACAGGCAGCACCGGGGGCACCTGTAGCAAAGCACACCAGAGACAGAAGAAGTCTTATGACAAAGAACAGAGGAAGAATCAGACAGGGAGGAAGCAAGGCACACCAGTCTCTTAAGGCACTGGGAGGGAGGGAAGGAGAAGGGCTAGTCTTCGGCAGGCCGCAAGAAGCAGGGCAGGCTTCTAAGAGGCCAGGAACTGAGGAACTAAAAGCATGCCACCCAAAACAGATAAATGTGCAGTCTCAGGGTTCAGTTGCTACTACTGAGGTGGGAGTGGGGGAAGATGTGCCTCCATAATTGTTCTCTTAAACTTTTTCCTTTTTACAAAAATAACATGCGCATTAAGAAACTAGGAAAATGGGGGCTGGAGAGATGGCTCAGTGGTTAAGAGCATTGCCTGCTCTTCCAAAGGTCCTGAGTTCAATTCCCGGCAACCACATGGTGGCTCACAACCATCTGTAAAGAGGTCTGGTGCCCTCTTCTGGCTGCAGACATGTACACAGACAGAATATTGTATACATAATAAATAAATAAATATTTAAAAAAAAAGAAACTAGGAAAATGCAGAAAAGCATAAAAAGAAAAAAAGACTCACAAACACTCCCGTGTTTATCTGTGGATGGTGAGGTGACATCATCAGACAAAGAAGAGAGACACCCTGGGCTACAGAGTAAGCCGCAAAGGGCTTTGGGTGACTCACAGGGAGAAGAGGTCATAGTGTAAGAGCTGGGACTAAAGTAGGGGCGAGGACAAAAAGCTGAGAGTACTCAGTGCCTCTGGTTTTCAGCTGAATAAATAAATGACCTACATAAGTATCCAATGTTTAGGAAGCATATACTATAATCCACAAATTATTTTTTAAAAAAAATGCTACATCTAGAAAACTGAGTGGCACTTGCTCTCCAGCATCACCCGACCAATTCTTTGAGGGAAAGGATGGAGGACAAGAAACACAGACAGACATTTAACACAGACAAGGAATCAAGCTCATGTCCAGGAAAGGTACACAGGATGGCAGGACACAAGGTGGAAGCGTTAACTTGGTGTCAGGATGGAAGAATTTGAATACCAGACTGAGAGTTATTAATCCAAAGATTCGAGATTTTACTGTAGAGAGGTCCTATGGCACTTAGTATTTCTGAGCATCTGGGCACACTGACATGACAGTGGAGATCTCAGGCCACCATATCAGAAGAGCTGCAGAAAAGGCTCAGTTGGCAGTACGCTGGGTTCAATGCCAACACCAACAAAACAAAACAAACAAACAAAACCACAACTAAACATGGTAGTTTCTGCCTTTACTCCCAGCACTCAGGAGGTAGAGATAGGAGGTCAGAAGTTCAAGGCCAGCCCTGGGCTAAATGAGACCCTGCCTGAAAGAAGAACTGCAGGATAGTGTAATGCAATTCTATTTGTTTAAAATAATAGACACAGACAATGACTCTTGGCAATTTTTACTCTGGGAAGGAAAACAAGGGGTGGCAAGTTAATTTTTACTTAATTCATCTGTTTAAAAAAAAAAGAAAAGTTTGGCTGTGAAAGGAGAGGGCAACTTATATGCAGTGATACCGAGATGCGTAGTTTTAAATTTTAACTTCAGAACATATAAATACGACTCTCCCATTTGCCAATTCTCAACAACTAGACTATATCCACTTCTTTTTTGTTTTACTTTTATTTTTAAATTGCATTAATTTATTTAATTGTAAACATGAACATAAACAGGTGTGAGTTCAGAGAATAACTCGAGAAGCTGGTTCTCTTCTTTCCCCACATGGGTCTTAGGGATCAAACACAGGTCCTTCGGTTGGTGGCAGGATCTAGAACCCACAGTGTAGCTAAGAATGACCTTGAACACCACCTTGGCCTTCCTCCTGAGTGCAGTTACTACAGAATGTACCAAGGTGCCCAGCATATCCTTTCAAGCATGTATTTGGACAATGTTTTTAAATCTGACAGGAATATTACAGATTTCCTAGTCTGAGTTCACCATTGTATTCCTGATATAAACTAGCTTAGTCATCTCTCTACCCTCCACTCTAAGAGAAATGCCAAATTAAGCAGATTTTACTTTTTGCATCCAATTATTGATTCCCACTGCCACTGCTCTAATTTGGGCCATCTTGCTTCTCCCAGACTATTGTAATGGCTTCAAACACCCTGCTACTGCTCCTACTGTAATGGCCCTTAAGTATCCTGCTCCTATTCCTATTATAACGGCTCCTGCCCCTGGCTCTCCCTTTCAGTTATGCAGTAAATGACCAACTTGTTTTAAATTCATACAGAACCACATGTGACAATGTGGCATCTAGAAAGAATACTGTCTGTAAAAGACTGATGTGGGATGCCCTTCTGTATGCTGAGAATATGCCTTATTACTATTGGTAATAAAGAAGCTGAATTGGCCAATAGTCAGACAGAATAGAGCCAGGTGGGAAATCCAAGTAGAAAGACAGGGAGAAGAAGGGCTGAGTCAGGGAAATGCCAGCAGCTGCCAGGGGAGCAAGATGTGAGGTAACAAGCCACACGCCTCATGTAAAATATAGAATAATAGTAATGGATTTATTTAAGTTGTAAGAGCTATTTAATAATAAGCCTGAGCTAATAGGCCAAATAGTTTGAAATTAATATTAAACCTCAGAGTGGTTATTTTGGAACTGGAAGGTGGGAGAGAAAGCTCTAGTTACACAAGACCCATACAAGCCCCAGTCAGTCCCATTCTAGCATAAAGGGAAAGGTTTCAGGAGTCCCAGCCCTAACTGAGGAGCCTTGGACAGCTGATGGCCACTGGGGAAGGAAGAGTCAGAGTTCTTTAAGGGTATAGCTAACAATAGGTTGACCACGGTTCAGTGGCTGGCCCTACACCCAGGAGTCTATGGGCAGCATAAACTGGACTACTGGGTTATTTTTAAGAAAAGGGGTGGTGGAGAGAGGGCTCAGTAGTTAAGAGCACTGGCTGCTTTTTCAGAAGACCCAGGTTCAATTTCCAGCTCCTACATGGAGATGTACAACCATCTCTAACTCCAATTCTATGGGCTCTGACTCTTTCTTCAGGTATCTGGGGGCACCAGGCACACATGTGGTACATAGACATATATGCAGGCAAAACACCCACATGCATTAGTTATTAAAAAAATTTTAAGCATTTAAAAAGTGGACATGAAGTAGGGGGAGGGGAGTACCTGGAAGGAATAAAGGGGAGAGATGGGAGATGGAAATGATCCAAATACACTGTACAAAATTCTCAAAGGACTAATAATAATTTTTTTAAGGTTATTTATATATTATCTATACAGTGTTCTTCCTGCATGTATGCCTACAGGCCAGAAGAGGGCACCAGATCTTTTTACAGATGGTTGTGAGTCACCATGTGGTTGCTGTGAATTGAACTCAGGACCTTTGGAAGAGTAGCCAGTGCTCTTAACCGCTGAGCCATCTCTCCAGCCCCATAATAAAAATGTTTTTAAATGTTATCTGTGGTGGTTTGAATAGGAATGGCTCCCATAGACTCACAGATTTCAATGTTTGTCATTAGGGAAGGGCACTACTTGAGAGGGATTGGAAGATATGGCCCTGATGGAGGAAGTCTGTCACTGATGGGCTTGAGGTTTCAGAAGTCCACGCCAGGCCCAGCGGCTCTATCTTCCTGCTGCCATCGGATCTGGATGTTGAACTCTCAGCTCCCATGCTCACTGTGTGCTGCCATGCTCCCCACCATGAGGATAGTGGACTAAACCTCTGAAACGCTAAGCAAACTCCATGGTCATGGTGTCTCTTCACAGCAACAGAACACAGATTAAGACAACATCTATTATTGAATACACAAATATTTTACAGTTTACAGTTTCCTACAAAAAGCTCTTGGACATGTTTTGTCACATATTCCTAATTATCTTATAATTTGTTGAATAATGAGTACACAGTTTTTTAACTTTTAAATGATGTTTTCTGTTGGCTAACAACTGCAATTATTATATTGACTTTATACAAAAATAAAACAAACCAACAAAAATCTCACTATGTAACCCTAACCAGCCCAAAGGACTCCTTAATATGCTTAAGTTTCAGTGAGAGACCCTGCCTCAAAAGTTAAGTAATTAATTAATGAGGTAGAGAGCAATAGAGAAAGAAACCCTCTGTGCATGTGGGGACACACACACACACACACACACCTTACTTCTGTATCAATTAGCACAGCCTTCCAAACTTCCTTGCGCAAAGGAGACATTCCAGAAAGTTTATAAGTTGACTTAAACAAGAGCTTTAGAATACATATGTCTCTTTAAAAGTGTACATTTGGGAAGGGGGAATTTATAAATCCTGAAATAACACACTCGCTCTTATTGTGATGAGAAATAGACAATGAAAGGTCAATATCGAGCAGTAAGAGATGGGAATGACTCCAAAACGTTCTTGATTGATCATGTCAGTGGACTCAATGACAGTTCACCTTCAATTCACAACGCTTTGACAAAGGAAGTGCACCAAACGTGTAAGAGCCGGCTTTGTGGGGAAGTTATGATGAACTGGCCTCTGAGACCTGAGCTCTCCATTAGTGAGCGGACAGATCGAATGTGAGAACTGCTTCAAAATAAATTCAGTTCAATGGGACTTATTTCTTCCATTCTTAAACCTGTTATCCTCTGCGCGTGAAGACCTACAGCACTCAGGGCCTCAGCAGCAGCAGGGCAAAGGGCAAACACCAGGGAAAACACTCAAGGCCGTCAGTAACTCCATCGTCCTTTCTTAGCTCTTCTCTGCTGCTCTCTGAGCCACCAAGAACACAGTAAACTAAAATGTCTCTGTCACGTGTGCCTTAAAACAGAGCTGAAGCACAGATGAGGAAATTTTTATTACTGTGTAGAATCACACATTATAATCTCAAGTAATTCTCCATCTGCCTCCTTGTTACCTGCATGCCTACCAGTCAGCATAGATTTGTCTCACAGCAGTGAGCTGCAAGTGTGTGTCTGCACACCAGCCTCTACTCCCTACAAATATTGCAAAGAGCACACGAAGGAAATATGAGCATATGTGTGTAGCACTGGGGACCAAACCCACGCCTCGAGCATATTATGTGTGAGCTGTGCCACAGTTCCGCCCTGGCCTGACACATTAATGCTAACCAAAACTTAAATACACGTTCCCCAGAAAGGACGGTCTTGAGTGACAAGTCTGAAGAGATAAGAATCTAGACTACAGATTCTCCCGGTGGGTGTATTCTGTGAAGTCAGTCCTGAGACATCCGGAGGGGGTCATGACATCAAAACTATTTTTTAAATTTAATTTTTATCAGTGTGGGGAGTTGTGTGTGGCACACATGTGGCAGTCACATGACAACTCTCCTTCCACCTTTACATGAACTCAGGTTGCCAGGCTTGAACATCAAGCACCTAGACCAACTGAGCCACTGGGCTGCCCTCAAGACCAGTCTTGAAGCACTAGCTGGAGCACGGCCGTGGCGGAACATATGCTGAGCATGGCATACAGCATACTCTGCTGTTTTTACCGGAAGACGTTTGTAATCATGGTGCAAAAGCAGTGGTGTAGCCCAGCACAGTCACATGACCCTAAAATCCTAGCACTTAGCAGGCTGAGGCAGGAGGATTGAAAGCTGAGGGCCAGCCTGGGCTAAGCAGTGAACTACTGTCTCTAACTAGTGAAGAAAGCAACAGCATGTAGAACTGCTGCCCCCTCAGCCGGGGACAGTGGTGGCATCTGAGTGGAACCAGTAACAGTCTTCATTAAACATTTGCAGCTTGAAAACCGCAACTCAGCTATCCTTGATGAAGCAGAAAATGATAAAGCTTTATTGTCTGCTCCTTGAGCACACAGCCTTTTAAAACACTTGTCGTGAAATTGACATTACATATGAAGCACTTGGCCTGCACACCTAAGCAGACAGCTGTCTGGAAGAACTGGGCACTACGCCAATTTCTGTTTACTTGCAAGAACACTTAAGAGAACACTAACAGGCAAATTGTGGTTGATCAGACTTGACCATGTGGTAGATATTTCCTTTTTATTTTATCTTTTCTGTTATTGCTTTTGTCTTCTGAGACAGGACCTCATTATGTATGCTTACCTGTGCTGGAACTTACTATGTAGACCACGCTGGCCTCAAAATCTCAAAGATCTGCCTGCCTCTGCCTCCTGAGTGTTAGGATTAAGAAGTGTGTCACCACAACTGACTTTGGAGGTATTAGTCTTTACAAAGAACTTACAGGAAAACAACTGTCAGCACTTTCTGCCAGAAACAAGATTTAAGTTTTCAATGAAAGGTAGAAATTTTAAGAATGTATAGATAGCAGCTATCATGGGCTTCACGACTTCACGAGGCTTAAATATTTTGATAACACTGACAGTGGCATTAGCACATATTTTAAAAACAGTAGCATAATATAATGTAACAGCCTTTAGAAGACTTTTATAATTCAACAAACCACTACTCAAAAGGAGGTAGAATTTTTATTTGTTTTGCTAAGACAAGGTTTCATGTAGCCCAGGCTAACCTAACATTCACAAAATAAAAAGATTAAAAAGATGACTCCGTGAGTAGAGGAGCCTGTTGCTGGCTGCCACGCCTGAACCCCTTGGGTTTGATCCCTGGGACCCACACAGTAGACAGAGAGAACTGACTCCTGCAAACCCTATCACAAAAAAAAAAAAAAAATGCTAACAACAGTACTTGGTATGTAACATCATCCAAATATCAGAGACTGATTACTGTTTTAATTTTTATGATTAATACAGCTACAACCCTCTTCGAAATTCTCCACTTATAATTCAGGCTATTTCTTTTATCTTTCTTTTTTAAAAGTATTTTTAACATTTATTGGGGGGGGGCATGTGTGTGGAGGTCAGAGAACGAATTTGCAGGAGTCAGTTCCAGGCTGGCCTCGAACTCAGAGATCCACTTGTCTCTGCCTCCCAAGTGCTGGAATTACAGGCCTTGTCATCATGACTGTCTTGTTCTTAACATTTTGTGTAGTTTAATCTTAATAATTCCATGACAGTAAGATTTTTTATCCCCATTTTTGTCTTGGTATTCACCAAATCACTATCACAAACCTGTGAAACCCATCCTACAAGACTTTCCTTCCTGCCTCGTTACACTGAAAAACACACAATCCATTTCCATTTAAAAAATTGGCTGATATAACCAACATCCACTATTCAAAGAGTCTTTTAGGCGAACAGTCTGACACTTCTTCCCACAACCAACTCTTCTCTGAATGTGTTAGCATACTTGCTTTAATGAACAAAGAGCCAGGCATGTTGGTATACACACGTAATCCTAGTACTTGGAAGGCTGAGACAGAAAGGTTATGAGTTTGAGATGATGCCCTGAAAGCCTAGAAGGCTCTCAAACTTTTAGGAACTTCTTAATTCAAATATGTCCACATTAAAAACTTACCTGTTGGAGCCATCTTTCATGTGGACTTTGGCATAAAGAACATCCACCATACCAGGATCATCGTTCATGTACTCAATCCCCTCCATCTCTACTTCTAGGGGTTTGCCACCAGTAATGTCGCTGCCAAAGAAGAAAACATTAGATTTTCACAGCTGTGTAAGCAAAAAAGACTGCAGTGTTGTGAATAATGGTTAATATGCATAGTCAAACAGCACAAGAACAGACCTAGCTGTCCTTCTAATTTCAAGTTAATAAATGTTCAACGCCCTCAACTGCAAAATACAGGAGAGTGTTTTCAGCACCACACCATGTTCCACTTCTCACTGACAAGCTCTAAGACAGAGCCAAGGGATGACATGATCCAACAACATCCTACTGTGCTGGCCCTTCTCTCTTCATTATTTGTACAAGTTACAAGAGGCGTGTGCTCACTAGATGTGCACACCAATAACACCCCTCAGAACCACCTGTCCACATGATGAAAAGCCTCCAACTCACCTGTGCTAGCAAGTCCCTTTCTAGGCAATAGCAGTACAGCCAATCATAGCTGATGAACCAAGTCACTGTTTGGGGGTTTTGTTTGTTTTATTTTTAGGTGTTTGTTTGATGTGTGTTTTTAAAGCAATACTTGAGAAATGTTTAAGAAAGAGTTTTAGTATAGAGTGAGGCACAGGCATTAAAGGAGAAAGGGAGAAAGAGGGGCAGGCAGGCCTAGAAAACAATCACATATCATGTTTATATCAGGTTTTTGGTTTTGTTTTTCGAGACAGGGTTTCTCTGTAGCTTTGGAACCTCTTCTGGAACTAGCTCTTGTAGACCAGGCTGACCTCAAACTCACAGAGATCTGATGTGGGATTCCCCTCTGTATGCTGTGATTACCATTGATTAATAAAGAAACTGCTGGGGCTGGAGAGATGGCTCAGTGGTTAAGAGCACTGCTTGCTCTTCCAAAGGTCCTGAGTTCAGTTCCCAGCAACCACATGGTGGCTCTCAACCATCTGTAATAAGATTTGGTGCCCTCTTCTGGCCTGCAGGCATACATGCAAAATACTAAGAATACTGTATACACAATAAATAAATACATCTTTAAAAAAAAAAAAAGAAAGAAAGAAACTGCTTTGGACCTATAGCAGGGCAGAGCAGAGGTAGGTGGGGAAAACGAAACTGAGTTCTGGGAGAAAGAAGGCAGAGTCAGAGAGACGCCATGTAGCCCCACCGAAGACAGATGCTGGAATCTTTACCCAGTAAGCCACAGCCTCGTGGCGATACACAGATTAATGGAGATGGGCTAGTTTAAGATGTAAAAGTTAGCCAGAAATACACTTAAGTTATTGGACAAAGAGTATTGCAAATAATATAGTTTCTTTGTGATTATTTCGGGGCTGAGCAGCCAGGAACAAACAACAGTTCTCCTACAAGAGAGATCCACCTGCCTCTGCCTCCCAAGTGCTGGGATTAAAGGTGTGCACCACCACTGCCACTGCCTCAGCCTCCCAAGTGCTGGGATTAAAGGTGTGCGTATCCACTGCCCAGCTTCAACCCCTCTCCAGGGACTTAGAGTCTCAACTTGTTTGACCTAAGGGAGCATGAGAAGGTCCAGCTTTGGAAACTGAAAAACTGTCATTTGATGGAAACCAGAATATTCCCACTATTGTGTTTTCATCCCAGATCCCTCCCACAGACATATACTTCATCTAGAAAGAGCTTCCTGCCCATCAAAAGCCAGGAAAGCTCCACTCACTATATAGTGTTCCCTAAGTATCATATGGCTAGGCCCCATCTCTCTCCTTTTATATCTCTAGCCTTAAATAAAACATGTGCACAAGGGATCTCTAGTCAACACCGAATAAATACCCCACCCTCTGGAGAAAGCTGCTCTGGACAATGCTGGGAGGAATGTAGTCATGGGCGGCTCTTCTGGGCTCTATTGGGAGCCCTGAGACCTGCTCCTTAAGTCTGCTTTGCACCTTAGCTCTCCATGGGAAACTACTTGACCGTCAAGCTACTTCACAACTTCCTCCATTTGCCGCTTACAAGCTCCGCATGTTATGATCATCAAGCTGGATTTAGCTGGGATGACCTTGCTCCTTTAGGAGTTTATCCAAGTGTCCCCACCAAGGCCTCCAACACTCATAAGATCCTTAGGTGGGAACTTTCCTACAGAATTATCTTCCAAGTAAGAGATGTTAGAGATCAGGAGAGTTACCACCACTGGGGTACTCTTTACACCTGACAGACAGGCAGACTAGGTTTGTGGTACAGTCTCTGCAGAGACTGGGTGTCTAGACAGAGGAGGCCAGCATGGGGCACTGAGTACAGCTGAGGTGCCACCTTCACCATGTGCCAGGCTGCAGGCTGTGAACAGGATGGGCTTGCAGCCATGCTCCAAGCACCATGAGATCATCCTAAATAGTAAGGTAGCTTGTACAGGTAAGAAAAGATGGTGAGCTGAGACTATACCCAACCACCCAACCAACATTTATGGCCTTGCTTAGAAGTCTCCCTGGGGGCAGTGCTTAAGATAAAGTAGAACATTTCAAAACATCCCAGCTCACAGTAAGCCTGAAACCTAATCAGATATAGTATGTCTCCATTCCAAGTACTGATCAGGAAATTCAGTACTAATTAGGAATAGGAAGGTGGCCATTCTATTCTGTCCAAGTACATGCAAGACAATTTGTTTCAACAATCAACTTTATACTAACTGCACCACACACACTATTTTTTTTTAAGAGACACGGTTTCAATGGGCAGAGTAAGAACGCACTTTTAATCCCAGCACTTAAGAGGCAAAGGTAGGCAGATTTCTTTGAGCTGAAGGCTAGCCTGGTCTACATAGCAAGTCCTAGGTCAGTCAGAGTTACATGGTGAGACCCTGTCTCTAAAACAAAAACATAAAGAGAAAGGGTATTATCAAGTTGCCCAGGCTGACCCAATTTCTGGACTAAAACAATCTTCTTGCTTTAATCTTCCAGCTGGAACCAGAAGTATATGCTGTTCCCAGTTTTCCTTATGCTTTTAAAATTAACCCTGGTGAGTTGGTTTAGCAGGTGTACATGCAAGTCTAATGTCTTCAGTTTGATCCCTGGAACTCGTGTAAAAAAAGTCAGATGCACTGGCCTACATCTGTAATCCCAGCATTCTTATGGCAAGATGGGAGAGGGAAGCAGGAGAATCACCCAAAAGCTCCACTCACTGGCCCTGGCCTGAAGTACTGGCATAGCAGAAGCAACCCCAATAAGTCTGACCTCCACAAGCATGCCATGGGACACAAACCTCCACAGTCACACACACACACACACACACACACACACACACACACACACACAGAGTCATAAACAATAAAAAAGCTGAAAAAAAATTAAAAACTAACCCTGCATAGCTAGATCAGCACTACCATGTTTTAACTAGGTTATATTTAATGCCTCATGTAAGAGCCACGTGGACCTTTTTACCCCGTGCAGTTTGTTAGATATGCTGCTCCTCATCATTATATTAATATTGACATGATTAAATTTGCATGGACTAGGAGCCCAAACTCTCTCCTAAAACCCATCACACTGTGTTTTGTTGTCTTGTGAGACGGCTCACAAGAGTATGTGGCTCTGGATGCAGTCCACGCTGTCTTAGGAGTATGTAGCTCAGGCTGGCTTGAACCTGAGGCAAACTTACATCTCCCAAGAACCGACATTACAGGCGTGAGTCACTATGCAGACTGTTCTACTGGTTTTTATCAGATAATAACTAAGTTTCTCCCTCTCACTGTCTTTTCCTTGGTGCTGAGGACTTGAAATCCTTGGAATGAGATGGGGTAGCAAGAACAAGAGCTAGATCAATGCAACAGGCTCCCAAGCTTACTTATGAGCAGAAATGGAAGCACCTGCAAATTATCCGCAGATTTATCAAGAAAGAGATTAAAGAGCTTAAAAGAGAAATCCAATGGCTTGCCTGATAAATGTCTTTGTCTTGGTAGCTTAAAGGTGACCTCAGGTGCAATAATTAGAAATTAGCATCTGTCCACAGCTCAATTCTCTTCCCCAGCCCTTGTCCCTCTTAGGTTTACTTGTTGAAGCCCTCATCTGTGAGGGACTCTCAGGCTTTAGGAGACAGACGCTGGCACTGACAAGGGGCCAATGCTCTGTTTTTGTCCGACATCCCACAGAGAAAAGTCACAAGGGACACATTTGAGCATCAGAGTTTCCTCAGCATTGAATAATTCATTCAAAATCTACTGAGTTGAGTTGCATGAGCCTTAAGTTTAAGAATCTCAACAGATATCTGGGTTCAGGGTAGACAGCATCCTTTAGTGTCAAAGGACCTCCAGATCTCAACTCCCCACATCCTTCAAATACCCACACAGCACTACATTTTTATCAAATCCCCAAATAAGTCAAGTTTGTTTTAATATTCCAACTTGAAATGTCAGTACATTAAGCTATGGCACAGTCTACACGGGTCCTCTTAGTTCCAGTGTTTCCCTTTGCACATCTTATTTTGGGATCTTTACAGCAGAGCAGGCCCAGGTTAGAAATGCCATTACACACTGGCATACTTCCTAAGGGTACCACTGCCTTTTTTTTTTTTTACCACTTTTTCTGAGGGCAAAAGGTAAACCTAAGTGAAAAGCAAAAGACAATTTCCTCACCAGAGTTTAATGCGATTTTTTGAAGTGACATCTCATCATTAGGGGAAAGACTCTAGACACCTGACCCTCATCTGACACCGCAGAAGTGAGCTTGCACTGTAGATGTTTTAAACAAGTGCCCACAGCACAGAGGGGCAGGAGAAGAGGGCTGGGAGTACAGGGGAGGGGAGCTTGCTTTATTTGCCTTGCTGGTCTCCAATCTTCCCAGCTTTTTGAAAAGAGCATCTTCAAACATCTTTCTGCATGCACTGCAGATTTCTGGCAGGGCAAATTTGCCCTATTTCAAAAGCTTTGCTGAATCTGAAAAACTACAATTACCATTTCCATCCTGTCATGTCGGAGTCTTAGAACTATTAGGATTGTTCTTTATTCCCAGTGCACACTGATTCTGACAGGCTTCCAGGCTCCGGTTTGAACTAAACACACAAAAGGGATGAACTCGGCTAGGTCTGCCCATAGCTTAGGATTAAACCTCAGCGATGAAAACCTGTGACCTGATTTTCTTAAGGCAAGAAGAACAAATACTTCACTACATAATATTTTATCTAACTCTATTTTTTTTTCTTCTTAGCAGGATTATCCCACTGGCAGCCAGGAAAATGTAGATACTTTCAGTTTAGTTTAGCAAAAAAGAATTGAGAATATAATAAAGAGTAAGACCGTTAAATATATTTTTACAAAGAAAACTGCATCTATCTAATGATGAACACCAAACTATTTTGAGTTTTAAGTAAGATTTAAAAAAAAAAAAAACAGAAAAGGCAAAGGATGTCTGTGAGTTCAAGGCCAGCCTGTTCTACATAGTGAGTTCCAGGTTAGCCAGGGCTACATAGTGAGGCCCTGTTTCAAATAAATAAATAAATAAATAAATAAATAAATAAATAAATAAATAAATAAGGAAACAGATAACTGGCCCCTGAACAAAGCAATGTAGAGACTTATATGTAACACAGAGAAAACCTTCAGATCTTTTTGCCCTGTTCTGCCCAGTGAGTCAGGTGACCCATTTCCTTTTTTGGGGACAGGGTTTCTCTATGTAGCTCTGGCTGTCTGGAACTCACTCTTAGATGTTGGCCTCAAATTCAGACATCTGCCTGCCTCTGCCTCCAGAGGTGTACGCCACCACGCCCAGCTGTGTACGCCACCAGACCCATTTCTACAGAGCCATGTTAGAGTAGCACGGCACCTGTATATAATAAGGGGATTTTTAAATAAAGATGTGTGTGTGTGTGTGTGTGTGTGTGTGTGTGTGTGTGTGTGTGTGTGTGTAGAGGAAGCCCTGAGTAAACGAAGTCCTGAGTAAGTGTGTGCTATTGACATGTCAGGGACCCCAGTGTTTCAATGTCATGGTGAAAAAGCCTTCCCTGGGTGAGGCTGAGAGGGATGCTAAGCCTTCTTTTGGTCTGAATGCTGTGTGTAGAAAAGGACTACCGGGCCCCCTCTCCCCAGATGTTTATGGTCTGAAGACTGCTTCCTTATAGAGACTGCTCCTACCAAGACAGGCTAAGCCTGCTTCCTTGTTAAGTTGTACATAATAACCCTGCCTTCTTGTTTATTGGTATGTAATAACCCCTCTTCAGCTGTATGCAATACCTCACCATTTAACTACATATAATGAATGTGCTGAGCTTCAAGGTACTATGGCTTCTCCTCCAGGGAGCCCAGCCCACACAATCCCAGTTTTTCTGGATGCACAGATGTCATATTGTCTATCATTTCTTCATTTCCTCGCCATTCCCGGACAGGGTTCCCAGATTAAAGCTGTGCAAAGGTTCAGGACCTATCTCCCTGGAAGTCTCTAAAATCTAGTGAGTGAGTTAGTTTCCTAATTTCTCTTTATCCATCTTAAGGAAAAAGAGAGAAAGGGTACTTTTGGGTCCTGACTTCAAGATGACAAAACACAGAAGAAACAATGGCTGTGCCAAAAAACGTCATAGCCATCTCTTCGCAATGCATGCTCAAGGGCATTAAGAACTTGCTGATTCAGAACACTGTCGCGGCCACTGCATCAGGACACTTCCGAAGCAAGTGTCCCCCATGCTTTTGTGCTTCTCTATGCCAAGCTGTGTCACTCTGTGAGCTGTGCTATTCGTAGCAAGGTGGTTAGGGATTGATCTCACGAAGCCTGCAAGGACAGAATGCCCAACCTCAACTTAGACCTGCTGGTGCTACCTCACCACCCCCACAAACCCCACGAAAAGAGCTGGCTTCAAAGGAGGGAGAAAAACATCTGAGAAAGATAAAGTAGAGACTATAAAGAGAGAGGGAGAGAGGAGAGGAGGCTCTTTGAAGTGATGCTTCGATGTTAGATATATGTGTAAATTAAATTTTTACAGTTAAAAAAATAAGTAACAACTCAGCCTGGCCTGAGAGAGAACCTGAGTTGATTTTTTTTTGGGGGTGGGGGGTGGGGGTGGAGTCTCATTATGTAACTCTGGCTGGCCTGGAACTTGCTATATAAACCAGGCTAGTCTCAAACCTCGCCTCTTGAGTGCTGGGATAAAAGGAGTACACCACCATGCCTGGCTTGATATTCTTATTGACTAAAATAAAAAATATACATTTACTTCTTTATTGTTTTTACTTTCTTATTTGAGGGGAGTAGGACTGTTTGACTGTTCAAGACAAGGTCTCATGAAGCCCACACTTTCTTTCAACTAGCTTATGTAGTCAGGGATAACCTTGAACTCCTTATACCCACTCCATCCCCAACTCAACTCACAGACGTATGCCACCATACCACATTAGGCTGATCTTTGCATTCCTGAGGTAGAGTCTTGTGAGTGAGGTGGGCTCAGATTTAAGGTTTTCTGCCTGAGCCTCCTGTGTACTACATGTGTACATCATCACAGTCGCCTTCCTCTTCTTACTTTAACTTTAGCCAGGTGCAGTGGTTACGCCTATCATCCCGGTACTTAGGAAGCTAAGGCTGGATTTGCTTGAGCCTCAGAGTCTGAGACTATCCTAGGCAACATAAAATCCCAGCTACTCAAGAGGCTGAGGCAGGCAACTAAGGTATTACAGTAAGACCATATTATTTAAGTAAATAAAAGAAAACATGGACGAAGAGGAGGAGAGGGAGAAGAAACGGGAAAGGGGGGAGAAGGGAGGAGGGGAACATTACATCCTTTCCTAAGGGATGCTGCAGTTCTGTCTGAGCAACTGTGATAGGCCCTCTAAAAGAACCAGGTCCCACTATCTTTCACGTCTTGGTTAAGGGGCTTGACAATAGGGAATCAATCTGATTAGAGATGGATTCAATCAAGTCAGAGGCCTTAAAAGCCAACTGCTTGTTCCTACTGTGGTCACAGACAGAGGTGACAACTGAAGGTCAGAGAAATGCAATATTAAGAATTAATGTTGGGAAAAAGAAGCCATAATGTGGGAAATCTCTAAAAGCTGAACTTTAAAGGCAAGAAAAAAGATGTTTTTCCTTAAACACTACAAAGGATTACAGCTCTGCCCAGACTTTGACTTCAGTCCAGTGAAACCCATATATGTCTCCTGACAGACCGGTGAGATGGCTCAGCAGATAAAGGTACTGGCAGCCAAGTCTGAACCTGAGTTTGATCCCTGGAACTGCACGGCGGAAGGAAAGAAGTGACTTCTGCAAGCTGTCCTCAGACATCCACATGTGTGTCATGGCATGTGTATATATTCTCCTTATAAATAAACAAACGAATAAACAAACAACAAAATTCCCAGGTCATCCAGCTCTCTCATCTAAAAACAAGTCTGTGGTACTGAAGACCCCAGCCTAGGCTGCCCTCCCTTCCCTTTCCTGACCCACAGATGGCAAACCACAATGATTGTGTGTTGTCTGAAGCCACTGAAGTTGTAGTAATATGCTACTCTGGATCAAACAATGGGCTATTCTGCTTAAGAACAAAATTTGCCTATCAATTAGTACAATTTAAAAACTATAAATGCATGCTTTAAGTCAATTTTCAAACTTTCAGTTGATAGTCCAATGTTAAATACGACAAATGAACGAGTCAGCGCTGGAGAGATGACTCAGCAGTTAAGAACACTGTGCTTGGGGCTGGAGAGATGGCTCAGAGGTTAAGAGCACTGGCTGCTCTTCCAGAGGTCCTGAGTTCAATTCCCAGCAACCACATGGTGGCTCACAACCATCTATGAGATCTGGTGCCCTCTTCTGGCCGGCAGGCATACGTGCAGACAGAACATTGTATACATTAAAAAGAAAAGAAAAAAAAAAGAACACTGTGCTTGCAGAGGACCAAGCTTTGTCTCCTGGCACCTACATGGTGGCTCACAACCATCTGTCACTCCAGGTCCAGGGTCTCTGATACCTTCTGACTTCTGTAGGTACGAGGTACATACAAAGTGCACATACGCACACGTAAGCAAAACACTCACACCCATAAAACAGACAGATCTTACATATGCTTTAACAAGTGAGTCACGATCTGATTCCCATGTCACCTAGCGCCCTCAACTGAAAACAAGCCTGTGATAAGGAAGACCCCAGCATGGCTGCCTCCCTCCCGTGGCTGCCGTTACATACTTGATGAACTCCTCTTTACAACGCTGCAGGATCTCACACGTCTGCTGGATCTCTTGTTCACTTAAAAGCACCAACATTCCAATAGTTAGATGAAGCTTTTTGGGATTCTGAAAAATGGAGCTGTCAACCCCACGATCCTGTTGTTAGTAGAAGAGAAACAAGAAACTTAGCTCATATAGAAACAAATGGCAAGAATAATCATGGCAAAGCCAGTGTGGTAGAGCGCCCCTTTAATCCCAGCATTCAGGAGACATGTAAGCAGGTGTATCTCTGTACTACAAGACAGCATGGTCTACATAGGAAGTTCTGGGCCAGCTAGAGTTACATAGAGACTCATCTCAAAAACAAACAAAAATATATAACCAGGGTAAGTGGGTTTAACCTGTAATCTCAGCATTGAGAAGGCTGAGGCAGGAGGATCACTGCAAATGCTAGCACAGACTGACTACATAATGAAACATAACTCAAAAAGAATGGCTGGAGAGATGGCTTAGTGGTTAACAACACCTGGCTGCTCCTCCAGAAGACCCAGTTTCAATCCCCAGCATACACAACTTGCTCACACCAGCTATAACTCCAGTCCCAGGGGATCTAATACCCTCTTCTGGTCTCCATGGGCACTGAACACATGTGATACACAGCTATACATGCAGGCAAAACACCCATATATATAAATAAGTAAATAAAATGTTCAAACATATAGTAGTATATATACATTCATATATATTCCTATATAATCACATACACACAAGCTAGGCATGGGGAGGCAGAAACAGGCAGATCTCAATGAGTTCAAGGCCAACCTGGTCTACATAGCCAGGTCAGCCAAGGCTATAGAGTGAGACTGTCTCAAAACACAAAACAAAACCCAGAAATAAGTGGCATAAATATAACTGAGAACATGAAAATAAGCCCATATACACAGGGAATGTCTACAGACAGGAAGAGCAAAGGTAGAGCCTAATCATATTAACTTGAAATGGCTCAGTGACTTACACATAAAATTAAGCCACAAGCAGGGCAGTGGGTGTGCACATCATTAATCCCAGCACTCAGGAGGCAGAGGCAGGCTGATCTCTGCAAGTTTGAGGCCAGCCTGGTCTACACAGTGAGCTCCAGGACAGGTCCCAAAGTTACAGAGAAACCCTGTCTCAAAAAACCAAAAAAGTTAAGCCATAAATCTTTCAGAGGATAAATAAAATGAATTTCCTATGACCCCAAGTTTGGCAATGGGTTCTTAGATATGACAGTAAAAACATAAACAAAGAAACAGGTAAACAGAACTTAATCAAATCACCAATTTACTGCATTAGTAGTAAGGAAGAGAAAGAAAGACAAGCGTGGTGGTGTACCTGTAACCCAGTGCCGAGGAGGCTAAGGCAAGAGGATCATGAGTTCAACGCCAACCTAGGCTACATAGCGAGGCAAAAGAAGCAACGAAAGAAACAAAGGGGAGATGGAGAGAAAAGGAGAGGAGAGGGAAATAACAGAAAGAAGAGAGGGAAGAGGAGAGAAGGAGAAGCAAAGGGAGAAGAGGGGAAAAGGGGGAGAGAAGAGAGGCAGAGAGGGAGGGGAGGAGATAAGAAAAGAGAGGCAGAGGAAGGAGGAGAGAAGAGCAGAGAAGAAGGGGAGGGAGGAGAGAAGAGGGAGAGGGGAGCAAAGAAGAAGAGAAAGTGGAAGAAAGAGGAGAGTTTATAGAATGGGAGAGATATCTGCATTATTTGTTAAAGATAAAAATATCCAAAATATCTGGGTAGATGACTCAGAGGTTAAGAGCACAGCTTGCTCTTCCAGAGGTCCTGAGTCCAATTCTCAGCAACCACATGGTGGCTCACAACCATTTATAATGAGATCTGGCACTCTCTTCTGGTGACATACATGCAGACAGAATACTGTATATAAAACAAATAAACTTTTTTAAAAATCTAAAATATATAACTCTTGAAATAAAAAAAAAGTACAAACAATCTAACCTTTAAAATAGAGAAGACCGTTAGATAGTGGTGGCATACACCTTCAATTCCAGCACTCAGAAGGCAAAGGCAGGCAGGATCTCTGAATTCAAGGCCAGTCTGGTCTATAGAGCAAATTCCAGAACAGCCAAGGCTACACAGAGAAACCCTGTCTCAAAAATGAAAACAAAACAAAACATAAAAACGACAAGTTAAAAAAATAAGAGACGATTTAAATGGGTGTCTTCCCAAAGAGCTGTAATAACAATACACAAAGATCTTCAACATCATTAATAATTTAGGTAAATGAAGAGCGAGCCACAGTGAGGTACTGACTCTCAAAATAATGGAGAAGTAAAAAAAAAAAAAAGATACTGACAAGGTTGCCAGAAATTGCAACCTCAGACAATGCCAGGAAATTAAAATAGTTCAGTTCAGCCACTGTTAAAGTTAAAGACAGAATTACCATGTAACCAACACTGCGAAGTTAAAGACAGAATTACCATGTAACCAACACTTCTACTCCCAGGTACACGCCCAAGAAAATGAAAAAGGACCCAATCAGAAACATTCCTAAAAGTGCCACTCACATAACCAAGAGATGAAACTAGCCCAAATGTGTAAGAACAAATAAACAATAAACAAGCTACGGCAGCCCACCTGGAGAAGCAAGTAGCAGTGTAAACAGGAGCGAAGTGCCAACACGCTGCAATATGGATAAGCTCGGAAAACACAGTGTTGATTAGAGAAACCAAGGGCCATACAGTTTATTAGTCCATTTATATGAAGTATTCAGAGTATGGAGAACAGAATAAAATTAGAGGCTGCTGGGAATAAGGGTGATAGGGAGGAACTGTTAATAGGTATGAGATTTTCTTTTGGAAGAATAAAATGTTATAAAGCAATATACTGCTGATAGTTGTGCATTGTCAGTATAGTTAACACTACTGAACTGTTCCCTTTAAAATGCTTAATTTGATGGTATTAAGACAAGGATTTAGAGAAGGCTTTTGCTACAAAGCACTGACTCTTCACTTGGCCCTGGCACATGTCTAGTTAGGGGTTAAAGCAGGACAAACAGCCCACTGGTTCATGTTGCACCTGTTTCCTGTATGCTTGAAAACTTTGGGTCAGATTCTCGCTCAATTCTGCATGTTAATCACTTAAGGAATGTTCATCCAAAGCTGGTAATCCTCCTCTACCGTGGCTGAAGCCACCAAGGTAAGAGGAACAAAAGTATTTTTCAGAGCCGCTGAGACAATTGCAGATCCCTGCAATGGTAAAGTCTCCAGGCAAAGCCCTAAACCTGCCAGAACAGTGACACACACAGATCACTCCAAGATGAGTGAGAATAGTCATCTCAGGGAAATAAAATTGCCTGCCCAAGCAATAAAACTTCCCAGAGTCCAGGAGCCTGCGAGAACCAGACGCGGTTTGGCCAAGACTGTTTAGTTATGCACACCTCACGCCCTACCTAAGTTCTTCCCCTGAAACCTGTGAAGCTGAGGCTCCTGTTGGCACCTGCAAAGGCTGGCTGAGGAGGCTTGAGCCCGGTCTTCCCATGTAGTTACAGTGGATAAACTCTTTTTTGGCCTTTCATCATTACATTTTCTGGAGTGGCAGGACATGGCTTGTTGGGACGCCCAGAAGCCAGGCCTCTATAGCTGAAATCTCCTATGTTATGGGATTTTCACATATTGTGTAGGGACTTGGAGGCCACACTTGGTAGTAGGGCCCAAGCAGGTGGTCCTGGTTGTAATCACTTGTACCCTAAAGAAATAAACAGTAGCCTAATAGAACAACAATTCGCAGGAAAAAGAGAATGCAATGTTCTAAAGCTTTTTGTGGATGTATGTGTCTGAGTTCATGTGCACTGAATGTACACAGGTATCTGCACAGAGCAGAGGGTATCAGATTCCAGGGAACTGGAGTTGGAAGGATGTTGGATCCCTTAAGCTCAAGTTACAAGTGGTTGTGCACCATCTGATGTGAGTGCAGGGAACTGAACCCTGGGCTTCTGCACGAACAGTGCATTTTTAGTCACTGAGCCATCTCTCCAGCCCTAGCATACAATATTTTAAATGTAGGTTTAAGAAAGTCGAGGACACCAGAATACAGCCCACAGACATCAGCTAAACAGGAGCTCATAGGGGCGCACAGAGACTGAAGCATCAATCATGGGTCTGTGTTAGGTCCTCTGAATACATGCTACAGCTGTTTTGCTTGGGGTTTTGTGGAACTCTTAACAGTGGGAGTGGGGCTGTCTCTGACTCTTTTGCCTGCTCTCAGGACCCTTTTCCTCCTATTGGGTTGCCTTGCCCGGCCTTAATGAGGGTTTGTGCCTAGTCTTACTGCATCTTGCTATGCCATGTTCGGCTGAAGGAAAACAGAGGAGCAGTGGGATGGGGGACAGATGGGATGGGACTGAGAGGAGGAGAGGGGGGGAATGCTGTGGTCAGGATGTATTATAAGAGAGAAGAATACATAAAAAGAAAACAAAAGAATATTTTTTAAGCTAGGTGTAGTGGCACTTGTCTTTAATTCCTGAACTGGGGAGGTGAAGACAAAAAAATGAGGAGTTCAAGCCAGCCCAAGCTAAATGACATCCTTTTCCAAATATAAGAATATCTCTTTTTGAAGGACTACCATGGGGACCGAGGGTGGCAGATAGGACTCAACATGGCAAGAGGAAGAGGTTCAAGGTTCGGGACAAGAAGCTCCTGAATGACCTGAATGGAGCCGTGGAAGATGCCAAGATAGCGCGGCTGTTTAACATACATCACCAGCTCTGCGCTGGCAGCCTCCTGCATCATCCTCATCTTCATTTTCCTGCGGTACCCCCTCACCGACTACTGAGCCCAGCAGGCAGTGGCCTTGAAGACACAGCACTGAGACTGATGGTCACTGAGATTCAGGATGCCGAGAGTGTGGGGCAGAATGGGCTTCTACCAAGGCCCAGAGCCATGCATGGCAGCAAGGCCGCCAGAAGTTGAGTGCCCAAAGGAGCGGCACACTCCTCCCAGCCACCCTATCTGCCTCCTGCCCTGCCCTGTTGAATTAGGAGCGGCGGGGCTGTGTCCCCAGCACCCCGCCACCCGCATGGCTAGTTTATACCCAGAAATAATTACACGGAAACTGTATTCTTTCAAACACTGCCTGGCCTGGCTGGGTCCAGTTTCTTATTG